GAAGTGCCATAAAGACGGCAATAAGGAGCAATTGCAGCCTTACTCCCAGTACACTCATCAGCCACTAAACACACAGCACACACTGACATCACGCCCTATTCCCATTCTGAGGCCCCAGTCACTGCCTAAACCGGTCAGTGGACTGGTGCGGGGAGATTGGCCAAACTACAAGCTACTTCACGCGCATGTCACACCGACAGTCGAACTGTCATTTACCGTCGGAGCACCACCAGGTGGGGACTGACTGGATAGGCCAGTTGAACTCTACTTGGAATAAATTGTCCCCCATTTTTTTCTGCAGCTGACCGATAGAATCAAAACGGTGGAGGAAACGAGGTCACGCCAAACGATGGTCGATCTAGAGATGCACCTGGGAGCATGAAAAGACCAAACAGCCAGTGCCCAGCGGAGATGCCAGAAACGGTACCACAGGGATAACCGGCTTGTGGCGGTCAAGCGTTTATAGTGACTTCGCTTTTTTATCCTTCAATGTCAGCTCTTCCTATCATTGTGAAACAGAATTCCCCAAGCATTGGATTGTTCACCCACTAATAGGGAGCGTAAACTGGGTTTAGACCGTCGTGAGGCAGGTTGGTTTTACCCTACTGATGGTTGAACTGTGTAAACGGTGAACTACAGTCTGGTTGTTGCAATGTTAATCCTGTTTAGTACGAGGAACCGCAGGTTCAGACATTTGGCACATGAGCCTGGTCGAGCTACCATCTGAGGGATTAAGACTGAACACCTCTAAGTCTGAATCCCATCCAGAGATGCGCCACGATACGGTTTGGTCTGCCACGTGGTTGGGTAGAGCACTTTTCGTTCAGGTTTCATTTGGATGCGGCCAGTATGCCTCACCGAACCTGGTCGCTCTGGTAATGTTATGCCAGAGCTGTAACAATAACCACATGTACCGGGCCATGATGCTTTGGGATTCGACACGATATCTAATTGTGGTATGAACGTGGCGACACTAAATCGTTTGTAGACAACTTGATGTTTTGTGGGGGAGACTTGAGTGTTCGAACAGCTATCAAATTGCGAGATATTAAGTTCTATCCCTATCCGTAATGATTTGAAGCCTTGGAGCTCAATTTATACAGGTACTGCTGTGTTGTTGTTATTGTTATCCTTCGGTAGACATTAACAACAAAAAACACTTTGGGTTCGGCGGAAACCTACCGTAAGGCTAAATTAAGAGTGCGACGAGACATGTCTTGAATGGTCAGGTCAGAGGACGCAGAGGTAAACAAAGTAGTAAGGGCTGAGGGGAAACGGAGAAGGCTGAGAGATGTAAGGGGGTGAGTGGGGGATAAAGGTGAGAAAAATATAAATAGGGAGGAGATGTTATGACGGCCTAGAACGTGACTCATCACTTTTCTCTTATGGTTGTCACGACTGACAAAGAGCCACCAACGCGCGGAAGCACGCTGACGAGTTATGCGCGATCTTTAGGTGACCACCATCGCGTGAGGGTCTGCCCGAAATGGCGCTCGGGAATGAACCAATAAGAACAGACAAACCGGAAAAACCGGACTTGGCCCTAGATAGGACCCCACAGAAAAGTTGACATACACACAGAAACTATCGCAATAAACTTGTTTTCTCCTATCCTGCCTATCTTCCATTTCACACAGAAACTGGCGCCACACAACTGGTGGACATAACGGGAGGAGGTGAACGAGCAAGAACGCAGGAGACAGCTTACTTTGTTTGACACGTTGACGCCTGCGGTCCTTCTGTTGGCGCCAGATGCACATGACAATGAGGATAAGAATGATGAGGAGCATCAGAAGGGCCAGCGAGCCTAGAGCGATGAAGATCACCTTGTTATTCATGAAGGCGCTCATGAGACTGAATCGCGAACGAGGCGGAGGCTGCAGTGG